TGAGCTGGATTTGAAAACTCTATCAGTTGTTTAATTGCTATTTGGTGTCCAAGCCCATAGATGCTTTCTGTGAAGGCAACCACAAGATTTTATTCAGTTAGGGAGAGGTTTTCTTGAGAATCTGGTCCTTCTATGACAAGGTGACCCGCTTGGTGGATGAAGGGACTATGTGGACATTGTCTACCCAGACTTTAGTAAAGCCTTTGACACTGCTTCCCCTGGCATTCTTCTGGAGAAACTGGCTGCTCGCGGCTTAGACAGGAGCACATGTCGCTGGATAAAAAACAGGCTGGTTGGCCAGGCCCCAAGAATTGTAGTGAATGGAGTTAAATGCAGTTGGCGGCCAGTCACAGGTCGTATTCCCCAGGGCTCAGTGTTGGGGCCAGCTCATTTTACTGTGTTTGTCAGTGATCTGAATGAGAAGATCAATTGGACCTTCAGTCATTTTCCAGACAACACCAAACTGGGCAGGAGTTTGGATCTGCCTGAGGGTAGGAAGGCTCTTCAGAGGGAACTAGACAGGCTGGATTGATGAGGTGCGACAATGCTGAGTGCCGGGTCCTGCACTTGGGTCACAACAACCCCCTGCAACGCTACAGGCTTGGGGACAACGGGCTGGAAAGCTGCCCAGCGGAAAAGGACCTGGGGTATTGACAGTGGCTGAATATGAGCCAGCAGTGTGCCCAGGTGGCCAAGAAGGCCAACAGCATCCTGGCCTGCATCAGGAACAGTGTGGCCAGCAGGACCTGGGCAGTGATTATCCACCTGTACTGGGCACTGGAGAGGGTGCACCTTGAATCCTGGGTTCAGTTTTGGGCTCCTTACTAGAAGAAAGACATTTTGGTGCTGGAGCATGTCCAGAGAAGGGCGGTGGAGCTGGGGAAGGGTCTGGAGCACAGGTCCTGTGAGGAGCAACTGAGGGAACTGGAGATGTTCAGCCTGAAGAAGAGGAGACTGAGGGGAGACCTTATCGGTCTCTACAGCTACCTGAAAGGAGGGTGCAGAGGGGTTGGGGTTGGTCTCTTTTCCCAAGTAACAAGTGATAGGACAAAAGAAAATCACCTCAAGTTGCACCAAGTGATGCTTAGGTTGTATATTAGGAAAAATTTCTTCACTGAAAGGGTTATCAAGCATTGGAAGGGGCTGTCCAGGGAAGTGGTTGAGTCACCATCCCTGGAGGTATTTAAGAGATGTGAGGATATAGTGCTTAGGGACATGGTTTAGTGGTGGGCTTGGCAGTGTTAGGTTAACAGTTGGACTTAAATGCCTTTTCCAACCTAAATGATTCTATGGGATGAAAACCATTTCCTTCATGAAACGAGAGCTTAGGAAGTTAGGTCATGTTTCCCAGACTACTCCTGCTGCTCTCTAAGGGCGTACCCTTTCTTAACTCTGCCTTGAAGATGCTTGGCTGTACCAAAAGGCTTAACTTCAGTTCAGGCCCTCTGATTCATTTCCTCCCAGATTATATTATTATAGTCTCTAGTAAACAAACAAGCTCTGTAAAGCATTATTTTTCTTTTAGGGGGAAAAAAAAAAGTGAAGAAATGGATCTTAGAAAAAAACTAAGGCAATCCATATGCATGCCTGTTGTTCCCTGAGACTTATTGTTCCCTGGGTCTGGTGACTCTGTTGGCCCATCTTCCTGACAACTGTCTTTCCTACTCTCTCATGAAAGACTTTTCATTTTTTAATTAGTCATTTTACTTTAAAGATGTTTGCTGCCAGAAACAGGATCTTCTCTTTTTCCTGGATATAGGATATATGATCCTCAAAGCCTGCGGTTTTGTCCCATTGTCTAATAATTGCCTTCAGAAGTCCCTTGTTTAGCATTGACTTATTTAGGTCTATTGTGTTGATTTCTGGCTTAGTCTTTCCCACAGTGCGCTATGCTGTTGTGGTGCCGAGACTCATGACTGCTGTACAGTAATTTTGCTTTATGACTAGATGACGTGCAGAGTTTGTAACACTGTTGAACGTCAACGTTTTATTTATTGCCTAGCGATCTATACGTATATACAAAGATTTGGAGACCTTAGGGAGCAAGCATCCTATGTATTATACATGTGAGAACCAGGGAGAAAAATTTATAAAAAAGGTAAGGGAAAGAAACAGTGGGCTGAGAGCAGTGGTGAGAGGATGAGTAAAATGTGGTGCACAAACCAAAAATTGTAAGCCAAGGCTTGTAAAGAAAGGATGAAATGTTCAAATGTAAGAATAATAAAAATGCTGGATAAGTCTTTCTTTGATGATTAGATGTTTTCCACTTAAAGCTGAATAGGAGGTTTGCAATCTTCCCTTGGTTTGAATTCCCAGCAAAGAGCTGGGTTGCTTTTACCACTGTCCCGGAAGGCAGATTTCAGATACAGACAGGAATAGTATGAGAAGTACAGAGGCTTTTCTTGCCAAAGCTAGGTTCCTCCTCAGGGACTGACAAATTTATTGGATTTCTTTTTGGTTTGTGAATCTTTGTTTTAATGCAAGAGGAATATAGTAAGCTTACAGAAGAGAGCCTTATCATTTTAAGGTATTATTTGCTCTCCTTGGTGCTGTGGTAGCTGCCTATTTAGCTTTTTGGAAGGTAGGATATTGGATTATTCCATGAGGCCACTGAGCAAGCCTGACTGCTTATATACATTTTAGACAGAAATTAGGCATTTGTGGTTAGATTTATTTTTCTTTGGTTATGTAGTTCTGTTTCAGTCGAGCTGCAGTACAAGAAAATGACATAAATGTTACATATGCATAATTTATCTTACGGGATATATTTGTTTTTAATGTACAGTTGCTACTGTAAATTAACTTTTAGAAACAATGAACTTAAGAGAAAACCCAGGAATGTGTTTCGTGCTTTATAATAGGACATTTGTACTTGATTCTGTGCAGTTATAAATGACTCTACTGTTCAGCACTCTGTTTAAGAAAAAGCAGCTCAGAGATTTGGTTGTTGAAAAGATGATTTATTGCAGGGCATAAAGATTTTAAAAACAATTCTTTCACTTATCCTTGGCCTTCATGAGCAACAAACTTGTTCTTTTGGCTTCAGTTCTTTGATCAAGAATAAGTCTACTCATGCAAGTTTGTTGGAGCCTAAAAGCATGTATTTATTTCTGTCCAAAAAACATTGACTTGACTTGATCTTTGAAAATACATATGCTATATAAAAAAACACTGGAATAAATAAAGTCTCCTGTTGGAGTAGGAGCGCACCACTTAATAATGCAGGGTACACTCCTGATTGACTCAGGGTGCTTTGACATTGTGTGATTTTAAGAGCTTGAATTGTCCTCTACTCTGAGTTCTTGTCCTGCCTGTGTTTGAAGGTGGTGGCTGCCCATCTGAACATGGCCCTGGGAATTCCTTTCTTGGAAAGTTTTCATTATCAGAAAATGTGAGCTAATGAAACTAAAGCCAAAGCATTCAAAAATCCTAATTTAGGTCAAGCTGAAGAGAATGTTTTAGACTTTCTTTGTAAATCGGACTTATTTCAGCTGATCAAAATTCAGCTTAAACTAGGATAAAGGTTTTGGAATAGTGTAAATACATCTGTTTCAAAGCCTTGATTAAACTGTCTCATGCAAATATATTTTTAAGTGTGACAAATTTCTTCAGTTGTGGCCTCCATCTTTTACCATCTTCATTTCTGGAAACTAAGTTTCATTGCTTTCTCTGAACTGAAGAGAAAGAAGTATTTCCTATATTTAAAGTTATTTGGGTAATAAAAATTTAAATTTGATGATTCAAACGCCAAGGATATATGCTCGATCCAGGTTCAGTTTTGACTTGGAACCATTTCCTCCTGTATGTTTTTCTTTCACATTTTTTAAACAAAGCGTGTTGAGAAGAAACTCTTTGGACTTCCATAAGTGTGTTTTCTCATTTGTGATCGTGTCAGTCACACTCTGTCTATCCCCAGTGGCTGATACCCATGCAGTGAACAGGGTATTGTTTCTCAGAAGTCTATGATTCCTTTAAATATATGAAGAGGAGGAGACAAATTATCATTTAAATATTTTTTTTTACTGACAGATTTGGTTTGTTTTTCTCTTTCTCCAGCTTTTGGAAATGCCAAAACTGTGAGGAATGACAACTCCTCTAGATTTGTAAGTATTTTCTTCAAGGGTGAGTTTCTTTTATGGGAGCATGTTACGTAGTTGGCTCTGTCTGTTTTCCCCCATATTAGCCATCAAGGCATCTGTAAGGAGGAAGTGAATAATTTGGAGAGAGAACTTTCTTGTAGTTGTCTGAGAACTGTGATGTTTGGAGAAGGCAAACACCTTCAGTAGCAATCGATATTTCATTTTGTACACTCAAGCATGTTCTCCTTCCACAATGTGTTAGTAGTGCATTATTAGCAGTCACCCCTGTTTTTAAAATAGGCTTCACCTCCTTGTCAGAAACCCTGTTTTGTGATGTGGGCATAGAGTTCTATGGAGAATCAAAGTAGTGGTTTTAAAAAAAATAAAAGGATGTGACAGTCTGTGACCGGATGAAAATTTAATTACAGCGCAGCTGGATTCTTTAATTTTATGGCACTGATGACCTTAATGTCAGTGACCATGTGCCTAACAACTGCTCTGCTTAGCAAGTCAATCTTTCTGCATGGTCTCATTTTCTATATATATGTATATACATTTTTTTTTAAAATTCCTACTTCAGGTTCTTATTTTCTCTCGATGATGTTTCAACTTGTGTTTACAAGTTTAGTATTAATATAAACATTCACAATGTGACTTTTTTGCTTGAATACTTTATAATGAACTGATTAAATTTTGAGGGTTTTAGCATGAAACTGCATGTGAAATTAGAGACATTGACAATTGCAAAAAAAAAAAAGTTGAAGCTGGAATTGGGAGATTCAGAGTGTGAGTATTCATCATAGTTTCTCCTGCTAAAATCAGAAGACTGAATTCAGCTTTCCAATTTGCTTACTTGTGTCCAGAAGAATAATACAGAGTGCAATGTGTAAAGTAGACAACAGAAAACAGATTAGTACACTGGAAAAATGGCGTGCTGCAAGTAAAAGCACGTGGATAAAGGCCTGGGATATGGTGACACTGGAGAGCAGCTTTTTTTCCACGACAGACTTGTCTCCCTTTCCCTCCAGATTCTCGAGGGTTGATTGCCCCTGCTTGCAAACCGGGCAAAGGGTCTCCATCGCAGGCCCTGTGGGCTCCACAGATGTCCATGCAAGCAAGGTCAGGGCCAAAATTTGAGGCACAGTAGAACATTTTTTTGAACAGAAAAGGTTGAAAAACTTCAGCTGTCAGAGATGACATACTACAGAAAGGAGAAGGAGACAACGAAGAGGAGAGGTGCTGTTTGTGAACAGAAGTCCTTCCAGGACAAAGTGCAATCAACTAGTATTTTGCCTTTCAAGTCCTGGCTTATAAACACAAAGCTAAAAATACTTCTGGAAACATCCAGCTGGCCCAGTCCTTGGGAAGTTAAAATTTAATTATCTGATTTAATTCTTTATCTCAGAAATTTGAATCAGCTCAGAATTAACTTCAAACAAGAAAGTACAAGTACTGTCCTGTCTAGCCTGGCTCAACTGCCAGCAGGGAGAAGAATAGAGTTTTAAGTAGACTCAAGCCAATCTTGACAAAATACCCAGTAAATTAGAAAATATCTCTGAGGGAGTCAATGTAAAGTGCTTGGTTTTTATGTTCTGTAATTAAAATCAAAAGATCTCTTCCTAGACGCAGTGATTAAGGAAGTATAAACACCAGGCTCCTCTTTTCAATAGGTTGGCTTTGTCCTCTGTTAAGTAAGCACCAGAGGGTGGTGAGATCATTTCTGTGCCTGGCTTGTGGAATTGGGTTGAATTACTACCAGCAGTTTTTTATCTTTGTAAACTTCCTTGCCAATGTGAGCTGTGCTGCTTTTGCCTTTTCTACACAGTATGGGTCTGTCCATTTTGTCACTGTTAAACGTAGCTCGTACTACATTAAACACTTGTCACATAAATTAAAATGATGCAAAGACCAGAGCAATCTTCTGCGATGTGGAAAAGTCAAACAGAAGTCAAGGGAACACACTGCGCCAGTACAGCTAAAAATGAAATGGCTTTTGCGGTGGCAGTCTGTTAATTGTTGCCTCTGGTCTCCTGAGTTACGAGGCAAAGAGTTCAGTGGGAAAAATCCATCACTTCTACAAGGCAGGCACGCGCTTAGGGACAGGCACCCCACAATTACTAACAGTGATCGTTGCCAGCCCGTCCTCCAAGCCAAGCTGAGCGGCTATCCTTCAACCGCCTTGATTCACGCTCTGAGCAGAGCCTACGCTGAACAAATACGTCTGTGTGGAAGATAACTTCTTCCTGCATTCTTCTGTTAATAAGCATAGTAATACCTACATGGCCACAAGTATTGTTTGGAGTTCTGCTGAAAGTTTGTGTCACGTGCTTTTTCTTACATAAACTTCGAAACTGAGCGAATTACTGGGTGGCATTGCAAAACTGATTAAAGCTATTCTCGTGAAAATCTCTGGCTGTGATAATGCAATTGTCTTAGCAGCATTGAATCATTTTCTAGTTTTCACAGTTCGACAGGCTGTACAGGAGGTTGCCAGATTGCTCTTTTAGAGTGTAAAAAATGACCAACCATCATCTTAACAAATGTTTTGACCTGTTTTTCTTAAACAGAACTTATAGTCTTAAAATATGTTGCTTTCACAGGGAAAATATATGGATATTGAGTTTGATTTCAAGGGTGACCCACTTGGAGGAGTTATAAGTAACTGTGAGTATTACTCCTGCTATCAGCAGATTAACAGCTTAAAAAGTTTTTTTTCAAAAAGGAAGGTGGTTAAATTATTGAAAAGATCAGCTGCATCTGACTAATCGGATCTCTCTCGATGATGTGATAAATTCTGCTTTTTAGTTTTACTGTTCTTTTGGTGCTGAATAACATACCTTAAGAGTAAGTGAAAACAGACTTGGAGAAGTAAGCATGAATAATGAATCAATGTACTCTAGTGTTTAAAAGGTACTGAGCAATGTGTGTGGGTTCCTATAGTCTCTGAAGCTGGTAGCAGATGGATAAGGGTATCTGGGGCTGTTTTTATGCTTGAATCCCTGGACCAGTTATGTTACTTGATTTGATGGGCCACGTATTTATGACAGATGATGTCTGAGATAGGCTGTTTTGTAACTTGAAAGTTCAAAGTATGCTGGAGAACACCAGGAGGTGGGTATGTTTATTTGGAATCAAAGCACTCTGTACTAATTTTAACACATCTCACAGTATAGGACAAGGCTTCTCATGAAGCCTTGTACTCATGAGAGAAGATGAACAGCTGTTGAGTTTAGGGAGGGAAAGGTGGCCTTGGAGGTTGTTACTTGATGTGAGGATGCTGCTACAGAATCTATAGCAAGTCAGAAATTTTAAACAGAGCTCTCTTGGGAAGAAAGAGACTGGGAACTGAATGCCAGCCCAGGATGCTTTGACTTGCTTTCCTTTTGAGAGTTTAAATGCAGCTTTTAAAAGTAATTGCTCTTCTGTGCTATATAAAGCTATTTTTGTTTGTTTTTCTGATTTTTAAAAAGGGATGGAGGAGGGCAGTGAGTGACTATACTAGGTATCGCAGATCTAGCCTTGACCTCTCTTCTCACTCAGCCAAATTCATCGCTCTTTCTAAAGACTGACTTTTGATTCCATCAGCATTTTACTGGTTGTGAAATAATGAGAATCATCCAAGGTGAACTGAACTCTCCATATACAACATAAACATTCTAAAACATTGTGAAGAATTTTACACATAAATAGTGTTTGGGGTTTTTTTTCAGAGGGCAAACATTTTTTCTGGACTGGGTCACCTTTTGGAACTGTGCCTGAAAGAGCATGATTTTTGTGACAGAGTACGCCTTGAAGCTCAAAGCAGTCACAGTTTAAGTGTTTATGGCTATCTATTAACTTTGACTTTTGGCAGTCAACAAAATTATAGGCCAAACATAGTGTATTCATCAATAGTTAGATGTGAACAAAAAGGCTCTAGCAGGATAACTGTGTTGTTTGCTTCTTTTTATTTCACATTTGAAATAGATACATAAAAATGAAATCTCTTTTGTAGAGTGGACATTCATCAGGTTATCTTTGAAAATACTGTGCTGAGTCATCTATTTAAAATCTTATGTCATATGAAAAGTCAATCCAAGTAGTTACTCTGTAGTTTATCTGCCTTACAGATCTTTGTGTGTTGTAATTATAACATTACAAGTAATTATAATGATATGATGACATGTAATCAAGGGCAAACATACTTCTAGATCTTCCTAAAAGATGACTATTTTAAGCATTCTCCCTGTTTTTTCACATTTAATAAATATCTAATAGCCAAGAGATGAACTGAAATTTAGAAACAAAGAGCTTATGTGTGACCCCCGTTGTGGAAATGTTGTTTCTTGTTGAACTGTGAAACACCCCATACTTGTCAGGGTATGTCACAGGTAAATACTGAGTTCCTGTAGCTGCGTGCTAATATATCTCATCTTCGCTTTAATGTTCACAGAATCTGGTAGTCCATTCATCTCTCTTTTTTTTAAGAGAGTCTGAATTCCGCACAGAATTTAAAGCAAGTTTGTTGCCTTGCCTTGGATCTTTTCCATGCGGCTGCAGTATTGCATTGCAGCAGAAATGTTTCTGTTGTGAGGTATCACCATTCTGGAGATATCGACGCCTTAAATTCTTTTACACCACTTACAATTTACTCTGGGTTTAGTCATATTTAGGATTTGTTTTCTTAATTCATCAAGTAGGACTTCAAGTAGTGCTGAAGTTTCCTATCCTTAAAAGGGAAAGTATGATTAGTTTGTTCATAAATATTCTTTGCCTTCTGACCATCTGTTGGTTAGGTGTTAACATGATGTGAAGACAATATCGTACTGTTTTGATTGAACTTTAGTAGTTGTATCTGATGAGCTTGATTTCCAAACATCAATGAAGATAGTGGGCTTTTTGGATCGCAGCCTATGTCACCAAGCTGTGTTTCATACCTGTGAAGGGCTGGAAGCAGACATGGTGAGCATCTAGCTTATTTGGTGGCAAGAAGTGCAATGAAGATAAGCTCCTAATTTTATCAACCTGGTAAAGATAAGCAGAGACCCATCAGACTAAAAGGTCTTGTTTGAGATGGTCTGGTCTGTGCGACGCTGAAATGCTGTGGAGTCAAGCTGCCCCTTCATGTAACAACTCTTGCTATTGTGAACTTCCCTTGGGCCATTCTCTTGGTACCCTTCAACGAGCTTGCTCTTCTTAATGACAGGGGTTCATCTACAAGTGAACCTTGCAGGGGATGGAGCTAGAGGGTAAAATTACCATGACAGTGCATACTGCATTGTCTGTCTTGTCCAGTTTGTGGTGAATGTCCACTGGCTTCTGCAAGAGCTGATACATCTGAAATGTTTTAATGTGCCGTAAATGGAAGGGTAAATCTTCTGAGTGACATTAGAATGGGAATAATAAAATGGAAGGGATTGTAATGGAAGAGGTTTGTAGCATCACTTAAGTCCAAACTGGTGTGTTACAAACAGGTGAATTGCATTTGCATTTCCTCTCTGGAACTGCGTATGAGGAGTACCTGCTCCTTCTGTCCTCCACAGGATGTTTATGGCTGCTGCTGTTGGTAGTGAACACTCTTATCAGTGCTTATGTGCTCAGAGGGTATTTTCCAGAGCACTTGAGAAGAAAAGCAGTTGGAGTGTTGGGTAATTAACTTGCTTTTACCCAGGTGTAATACTGCAGAAATAAATCACAGAAGCCATCAATATTATTCTTAGTTTTCCATTTATTGTAACTACCGTGTTAGCAGGGATGGGAGCAGGTGAAAGAAGAATAGTAGTTTCTTTTCCACCTGTAATTACAGAATAAAATATATTTTATGAAAAATGGGTATGTTTGTTTTCAAAGTAATAGGTGCTAATTGCAATAGCTTGTGCAACTCTAAAATAGGACTCTCTGTCCACGGATGCTGCGTCTGATTTGTACACCAAACGATGTTTGCGTGTGTACTTGGTTTCTTAGTTTTGTGACCAGTTTCGTGTACACTTAATTTTATGGTTGAAACAGTTTTTCATGGTACAGTCTAAGATGTTTCACACTTGCCTTTGTTTAGGCCTTTTGAAAAGTAGGGATCTTGTGATATCTTTCTCAGAATATTTGTAAGCCTTTAATTTTCCCATTCCACCTTTTTTCCTGCTGAAAGATGCCTAGATTTTTAGCTTCAGGTGAGCTTTCCTACTCTGCCTAAGCCCTTCAGTGATTTAATGATTAACTAGAAGATAACAGTGGTGTAGGTGAAGTACAGTGTAGGTGATACCTGCTCTTGAAAAGCCATTTATAACCAGCACAGGGGACTTAAGGTACAAATAACAAGGGATTAAGAAAGGGCCCCATTTTGCCATTTTCTCTACAAACATGAAAGAAACCCATGATGTTTATCTAAAGCATCAACTTTATTTTTAAGTTAGCTAAGAGATAGTGATAAATTTACAACTTACTCTTCTCTCCAACTGGTTTGTTCATTTTCAAAGAAAAGTAATTACCCTCTTGAGAAACCAGCAACTCGGGTGGTTGATTGTCATTATGTGAGTGCTGTTTGCAATGTCCTTTGCTCAGGGAAATGTGACACAAATTTTACAACTAGACATTTTGGAAAGAGATACTCATTCTTGTTGATTCTTTTACTCTTAACTTGTTCCAGCATCTCCCTTGGTGTTTCAGTTAGCACAGTTGCCGCCTTTTAGGCAATTCTGTTGCCTAAATTAGGAAGTGTTTAAAAAAACCCCTCCAACGCAACCAACAACAAACAACACAAGATGTTTTTATTAGCTCATTTGAAACATCACTTATCACTTGAGCAATCAGGATTTAAGACTCCTAAAATTGTGCAGTTGTTTTTTCACTGCATGTACTACCCAGATTGTAGATTTTGTTTTATACAATTATGGATCATTTAATTCAAGAGATCATTATTATAAACTGGATGGGAATAATGTGAAAAAGTTCCTGAGAAACCACTACTGTGTTTTCATTTTAAGCAGTGACTTTGATGACAGCTGAAGAATCAAAGTAGGAAAACAGAAACATAATTTAACATAATGTGGGTGTAGAGATAAGCTTCTGTGACTAGAAAATACTCTGTAATTTGGCTGGACAGCTAAAAAGTTTTTTGGTCATGGCCAGCTGAAGAGACTATGACTAAAACAAACTTCTAGATTATTCAGAATGTACCAAGGCAGTATTGTTTTTTGTTTGTAGTGTTTACTTCTACTTTCTTGAATGTTGATTCAATTTCTAGTATATTTAGAGAAACACAAATATCGTAATTTTTTCTGCGTCAGTCAAGTTCAGGGGACAAGTAACTGAAAAAAAATAAGGTACATTTGTACATTAATGTTTACAGAGATATTCAGCATCGACGACTTTTTTCTTTCATGTTGCGTTCGGTCGAATGGTTTAGCAGGATGCTTACACACATCTCTTGCATTTAAACCAGCGTTATCAAGGAATAACAAATAATCTTCAGAACCTGAGGGAATGTAGCGGGATTGAGTCATCTTGATGGATATTAAAACAATATGATTTAAGAAGTATTGCCAGGTTGGACCTTTCTAAAACAATTTAATTTTTACAGTTGCTTTGATAATACACATGTTAAATGCTTCATTTTAAGCAGAAGCACTGTTAGATGATGCAGGAAGAATAGCTAATCCATACATACACCATATGTAGTTCTGTGTGTTCTCTCTAGATAATTCTGCATA